GCAAGACAGAAATAGTTGGGTAAGGTTAGGAGTATGGGGTTGACTTACCTCCACCACAGACAGGTGGTGGAGGAGGTGCACATCCACCTCCGCCTCCACAAACTCCTGATGCAAAGCAAGCTGAAGAAAGATCTAGCGATGAAGCCACAACCAGCAGTGAGACTAATGTAGAGGAGGACATTTCTGGAAAAAGAATAATAAAAAACAAGAGTATATAGGCCGCCATATGTTGGTAGATGAGAATGTTGGCATGCAGTGAAACAGAAAATCGGCTCAGAAAGGAAAAAAATCAAGCATGAATTAGTTTATTTGTTGTACAGTTTCAATACTGTCTACAAATAGTGTGCTCGAGTGATGGTTCGCCTCGTTGTTGTCGCTTCTTTTATACCAGAGTGCGAGACGGAAGGGAGGGGGGACGCGCACCGGCCGCAGGCAACACCAATAGCGTGTAATATGAAGCTGAGTCATGTCAAGAAGCTTTCGATACGATGCCATAAAACCCTCAGGTGCTTTTGGGTTCATCGGCAACCAGTATTAGCAAGAAGATTAGCGCTAGTTTTTGTCATATGTACTGTTTCTTCTAGTGCTTATGATGCCGAGAAACGATGGTCTGGGAAAGAATACTTGGCCTAATTACTCGCAGAGAAGCCAATGTAGTAAGTTCTAAGTAGTGGGTTCTGATGGGTAGAGACTAATAAGATAGGCTTTGGCTACTTTCTAGACCTGCTCCTTCAGTTTGAATAAGAATTTGTGCCTTTCCTGAGAGTATCATTGCACGAAATGGAATATCCACCACAGCACACATAGTCAGCTTCAATTTTTTAGAATGATCATTTTGAGCCTGATATGCGAAAAATGAGAATGTTGTGAAAAACAAATTGCTCAGACTCATTTGCATGCTTTTCCCCATATTTTTCATTTGACCCTTCACCGCGAAAATATTTGTATCTATATTTTTTATAGTTTTTAGTCTATAGTTTTTATAGTTTCATATTTTTCTAAATATTTTCTGTATCTATATTTTTATTCGAATTGTTGTTTATATTTTTAAGTTTTTATCTAACGGTGCAAAAATTGAATTAACAGAGGAGTTTTGTTTGCAGCAATCCTAGATCTGTTGTCTACTTGAAATCTGAAGCTGAAATTCAGAATGTTCCGAATGCTCGAAAAGGAATTCGGTTCTGTTCAACTCACAATTAATCTTCGTTTATGTATACATATGTTGTGATTTTCCTTGGCCAAGCGACGGATTTAGGTCACAGAAGCCAAAAATGAAGGTGGATGGATGTATCATAATTTGATATTTTTTGAAAACTACCTGTAGAAGGTCAATTGCTCTTGTTTATTTTCAGAGTTTCATAGTGTAGAATTACCTGCATGAAACCCGGCGTTGCTTTGACAAAAGCATGCCAAATTTCCTTTTCAAAATTCAATTCAGGAAGAATTAAAGCAAATGTATATTGATGTCGATGTGGAGGACATATGCTAGTGCTAGTAATCCCCAGGATTGTTCGTACGGTTACCAAATTTTCAATCTTTCTACATCCTAACATTTTTAGATTTTGGCTACAAGCTGCAGGTGGATCAGTTAGAGCTGTTTTTGAGACGTCATCTTGTAGAGCTTGCTTTGCAGAAATGGAAGTACCCTGAAATCTATTTACACAGTGA